TAGTACTTAAAAATGTATAACTGCAGTAGACACCATATGGAAAGCCTTCATAGAGACAAATACCAAGCTCTTGAATGTAAAGACAACTCGTTAATGGTGCTCTGTTTGATTTCATTTCAATCTAAGACAAGACTCCATATGACATAGATGGAGCTGATATTGCAAAGTGGCTCAAGCAATGCCTGCCCTAACCATAATCAAGCTTTCATTTCTATGCAATAGCGATTGCAGAGTAAAAAACCAAACTACATTTCCCCAGATTCTATAGTATCTGAATGCAATAGGTACTGTTATACACATGAAGAGACTTAGAATGTGGAAGTGGCACTAGAAACAAGGCGACTATATCTAGGAAACCCTTTTCATTTCCTGGATCAGCTACAGTAGCATTTCTACCCACGGTTCATTAGCATGTCATGTACCCGTAGTAATGGAAGGCACTTTTCTCAGCACAGTCCCACAGGGTGGTTGAGCATGTCTGTCAACTGCCCTGTTCCTGGATACAGAGTGTCCAATTTTGGTTCTGTGACACTTGAGAAATTCTGTAAAACTACAAAATACCTTTATAAAATCTGTCTTGTAAACAATCAATGAAACATTATTTTTTGTTTACAACTAAAAATATTTAACAATATAACTGCTCTATTATACTGAAAGTTTTTGAGTGTTTAGAACAGTAGTCTTTAATAAACAAGGAGACCTGATTTCAGTTACCTGAGAAACCTTTTCAAATGGCCATTCTTCACTCACCAAATGTCATCAACATTCTAGACGGCTACAGTTGCTGCTAAGTCACTTCAGTCGTGTCTGACTCTGTGCAACCCCATAGACGGCAGCCCACCAGGCTCCCCGGTACCTGGATTCTCCAGGCAAGAACACTGGAGTGGGGTGCCATTGCCTTCTCCGTCATTCTAGTCTACTACCGGCTAAACCTGACCTGCTTCCTGAGAAATCTGTATGCAAGTCAGGAAGCAACAGTTAGAACCAGACATGGAACAACAGACTGGTTCCAAGTTGGGAAAGGAGTTCATCAAAGCTGTATACTGTCACCCTGCTTATTTAACTTATATGTAGAGTACATCATGCGAAATACTGGACTGGATGAAGCACAAGCTGGAATCAAGATTGCTGGGGAAAATATCAATAACCTCAGATACACAGATGACACCACCCTTATGGGAGAAAGCAAGGAGGAACTGAAGAGCCTCTTGATGAAAGCGAAAGAGGAGAGTGAAAAAGCTGGCTTAACACTCAACATTCAAAAAACAAAGATTATGGCATCCGGTCCCATCAATTCATTGCAAATAGATGGGGAAACAATGGAAACAGTGACAGAATTTATTTTTTGGGTTCCAAAATCACTGCAGATGGTGACTGCGGCCATGAAATTAAAAGACACTTGCTCCTTGGAAGAAAAGCTTTGACAACTTAGACAGCATTTTAAAGCAGAGACATTACTTTACTGAGAAAGGTCCACATAGTCAAAGCTATGATTTTTCCAGTAGTCATGTATGGATGTGAAAGTTGGACCATAAAGAAGACTGAGTGCTGAAGAATTGATGCTTTCGAACTATGGTATTGTAGAAGACTCTTGGGAGTCTCCTGAACTGCAAGGAGATCAAACCAGTCAATCCTAGAGGAAACCAACCCTGAATATTCATTGGAATATTCACTGGAAGGACTGATGCTAAAGCTGAAGCTCCAATACTCTGGCCACCTGATGGAAAGAGCCAACTCATTGGAAAAGACTCTGATGTTAGAAAAGGTTGAAGACAGGAGGAGAAGGAGGTAACAGAGGACAAGATGGTTGGATGGCACCAATGCACATGAGCTTGGGCAAGCTCCAGGAGATGGTGAAGGACAGGGAAGCCTGGCATGCTGCAGTCCATGGGGTTGCAGAGAGTCATACACGACTGAGTGACTGAACAACAACAAAAAGCCCTGTACATGTGTGTAAAAGAACTCTGTACAAATATAGAGGTTTAAGAACATCTTGTGTTTAAAAAGAAAAAAAAAAACCTATGTAATTCTATTTAAATATAAACACCTTGTACATCAACACTGTGAAGGTTTGGCCCAAAATCAAGACCATCTACATTACCAGAAGCATCACACACAAAACAAGGGAGGTCTTCTTTAAGCCAGAAAGAAAATATATATAACACAGATACAGAAAGTCAGTTCAATATTCTGTCTTCCAAGTAGGGGCTTATTAATAGACCAAAACCTACCCAAAGAAGAAGCACTTGATGCTAATGTTATAAAAACAAGTGTAAGAAATCTAGAAAGGTTTAAACTGCTCAGAGACTTAAAAGTATACATGATAACTACCTACAAAACACCCAACGGCTCGCACAGAATCAGATTTGGGGAACAAAGTCCAGTGTATGAATACTACAAAAAGTTGTGTCTCACAGCACCATGGAAAGCAGAAACCAACACTCTTCTCTGAACAGTGAACAAAAACTCCGCCTTATACATCTTCATATCCTTGGTCTTTACACTGTCAAGTAGGCATCCGATGTTAGAAGTTCTGCTTCAATTAAATGGGGAAATTAGTACAGAAACATAAAAAGACTGTGCAGGAGTAGTGGTTTGTTTACTTATGGCATATTTGTGAGCAGTGTTTCTCAAAGTCTCTTTTAGGGAACATTAGTCCCATGATTTATCTACGGTTAAGTGTTACAGGAGAAAATGGAAAATGGTATAGCCCTTGTTGCTAGTTTGGAGTTAAGAAATGATAAATCAGTATACTAAAGGTTCATGAGAAGCCCTAATTAAAGGAGTCTATTCAACTCTATTCACTGCCACTTCCCCAATTTTTTTAAGCACAGCTCTTTTTCAAATGGCATATCCAACAAATATCCCAGGAGCTTTTGGAAATGCTCCTTAAGGTGGAATTATGCACTGGAAAATGTGTTGGGCAAGTAAGAGTCAATTCACATTTATGTATTTAAGGATAAAGGTAAATCCTACCTTTTAAACATTTTCACGTTTCATTATTATATTGTCAAGAAGAGACAAGCAATGCTAAAGTAAGCTATCTTTGCATCCTAAAGTAACGAGAGACAGATCCTGAAGCCACTGCAGGACCATCTTTTTCTAAGTTACTTTTGGTAACTTAGCAGACAGCTGGCTTAGGAGATCCAAGTTTGCCTGAAAGAGCAGTCAGATACCAAGCAGAGGGCTGCAAAGGCTCCTCCTTTTCAACAAGGCCATTTTTCCAATCAGATACAGAGTCACATAGATACTCACTGGATTCTAGTTCATAAAAGTATAGACATGTCACATGTGGAAAAATGAGTAATTTTTATGTAAACACTCTACAAGTGTCACCAGGTTTAGCACATAAAAATGGAAGATGTCAAAAAAAAAAAATGGAAGATGTCCAATTATACTTGAAATTCAGAATAACAACAAAGAAATTTTTGTGCAAATATGTCCCATGTAATATTTGGGACATACTTATGCTAAAATATAATTTTTGTCTGAAATTTAATGTTCTATTTCATCTGGCAACCAGGCCCTCCCCTGGAATGCCAGCTACAGACCCTTTGTGCTTAGTCCAAGTCACAGGACAGAGAGTTCCAGAACTGTGTGCTCCACCATGCCCTGCTTATAAGGTTTCCCTGAGTCATCTCTATTTTATATCTGCAAAACACAGCATTAGTCATGAGCCTCCATGACACCCTCGCATGGCACAAGAGAAGAACCAACTTATTTTTCCCAGCATGACAACCCAGAGTATAACCAAAGACAATACACTGAAGAGGAAACATTCCTGAAGGAAGACACAGACCCGAGTTCTTATTCTTACCCTGCCAGTTTTATAACCTTGTGCAAGTACCTGTAGCTCTTCAGGCCTTGGTTGTGCTGACTTCAGGAACCCTACAGGACAAACATTTTACAGTTCCACGATCCTAAGTGAACTAAACTTTGCCATGTCCTTGTGACCAACTGAAGGTCATGCCTGTCTAGGTTGAAAACAGAGGAAAACCACTTCAAAGTTAAAGAAAAACAAGAGATTGGCTAAAAGATGACCCCTACACTTAACTAAAATCCATTTGTTTCAAAAGAAATGTTACCTTCAGGCTAAAAAAGTCACCTTAAATATTTCATAAACAATATATGCTAGTCATCAACCATATAATTTTAAATACCTCTCATTCCCTGGACAGTCAGTACCCAATCACTTTTATTCCAGACCATTAAAAAAAAAGAAAAAAGCAGTCGACTATTTTACTTCCCTGAGTTCTGTGTGGTACACCTCTGAGACACCATAAAGCATTCTGCTAGTTCCATAAAAGGTGTCTATGCATGACAAAGGGCAAATCCATTATCTCTAACAGATTCTTGAAACAATTTGATTTAAATAGCATTTCTCTGCACAAAGAATCTCTAACACTAATTCATTTTGCCTTCAGCTTAAGTAACTGTCTATTAAAAGACAGTGACAATAAGAGTTTTTCTTTAGTTAAATACCATGCCCTCATGCAATCTGTATGCCAGCCACCGCTTTCAAGTGATTAAAATCTTGATTACCAACATCTTTAGCACAGCATCAAAGAAATAAATGTATTAAATTATACAAACGGCTAAGAGTCATGACCTTAGGGTTGCCAGTTAAACACAAAAGTCCAGTTAAATATGAAATTCAAATTTCAAACTCCAAAATTGGGATGTACTCAAAATTAATATTTATTTGAAACTCAAATAACTGGGGATTCCATTTTTTTTGTTTCCATATCTGGCAATTCTATGTGGGCGACTCTGTATGAGATGTTTGCCAATTTTCATCTTTTCCCCCCAATCAAAACACTCGTTTTGATTTTTAATTTTTCCTTAGAATCAAGAGTTTCCAACTGCTTCAGAACATGAATAGATAAATAATTTTCCAGCCCAAAATTTCATTAATATTTCTTTGCTTTTAACAAAATAAGGTTCCCACCAAAAAAACTGTAGTCTACAGAACATACAATCTTACCAACATTTTTACCTACCTGTGGGAAATATATGAGAAGGCCAGATAATAAAATATTTCTTTTTTTCGCCTCCTTGGCAAACTCTCTAACCTGCATTACCTTTTCCATTTTCTGACCAAATGGTACTGATTCATAATCAAGAAAATGCACCTGTAAAATAACATAAAAGGTAACAATTAGAATACCATTCACTTCTCCTTGATTAACATGACATTAAAGCAGCTCAAAACACATACAGAGAGAACAAGATGGCAGAGGAGTAAGTGGACGTGGAGCACATCTCTCTCCAAGGATACATCAGGAATCCACCTTCAGAAACTGCACCATCAGAACACCAGCTGAGAGCAGACAGGAGGACAACGCCAGGGGAAAAGAGTACATAGAAGCACGTAGAACTCGGCAGGATGAAGGAACTAGGGAGAAAAACAGGAGAGTTAGTAGGTCTGGACCTGCCCTCAGCAGGCGAGGGAGCTGAAGCAGGGGTCCGATCCCCACATCGGGCAACTGTCTGAGTCAGAGGAGAAACATTTAAGGCTGGAAGTGAAGAAGCTGATCCATGGCAGCCTAAATGGAATGAGAATCAGACAGTCCTTGCTGCAGCCTGATATACCCTGGACAGAGACACAGGTCCCCTGGAAGGCGCCACAGCCGGGAGCTGGAGTTTAGGGATTGTGGGGCAATCCCAGGGTGAGGGCTGCTGTTGACTTTGGAGAGATGGATTGAGAGGATGTGAGGGAGGAGACTGTGGTGGGAAATGCCTGTGGAGGAAAGCTGGGCAGTCATGAAAGCAAGACAATACTGTTGAGTCACGCAAAGCGGGTGGAGACATCACCGAACCCTCTCTCCCCCCACACACCAGCACTGGCAGCTGAACAATGGAGAGTTGGAGCATCAGACAGCTGGTGCAGTGAACTACAGAGCAGGACCCACCCAGGCTGCTGCTTTAAGTGCCTGACGTGCTGATCTACAGAATGGGACCCCAGCCAGGGGGCCCCCCTCTAGGTGCCTGATGTGCCAAAACGACAAAGAAGGGCCCCAGCAAGGGAGCCCTCTAAGTGCCTGAACCGGTGGGGCTATAGAGAAAGGCTGGCCAAGGAGGCCTTCTGATCGCCAGCCATAACTCCTGCAGCGGAGGCGGCCCATGTCCCTGCACACGTGCTGCCGGGGTCCCCACAAGCCAAGCAGCACCGCCATGCTCAACGCTCACTGGGGCAGAGCTGCCACAGGCAAAAGGAAAATCTTGCGTCTATGCAGACAGGGTCGCTTCGGTTGTGTCCAACTCTTTGAACGTGTAGACTGTGGCCTGCCAGGCTTCTCTGTCAGGGGGTTCTCCAGGAGAGAATACTGGAGTGTACTGGCAAATACTGCTTGCCATAGCCTTCTAGAACAATATATTTCCTGCTGCCCTAGCCGCCAACTCCCCTGAGTACCTGGTGCTGCCAGAACCCCTGCAACCGAAGCAGCTGCACCCCCTCTGCACCTGGCCCCCACAGGGGCAAACCCAAGCCCTCAGGGCAGCCTCAGGAGCAAACCCCAGTGGACGACCCACATGCAGGGGTGGACATAAAACCACAGCTGAAACCCAGGGGCAGTGTGGCTAAGGAGGAAGACCCAAAACCTTCCCACCAGCTGTATAAGCTGCAGATTAAATCAACACGATCAACTAGGCAGACTCTGTGTCTATGGAATATATGAGAGGACATTGAGAGCTCCCACAAAATAAAACGCACTAGTTCTGATAGCTGTGGACATTGGAGGAAAGAACACACAGGAGCAGGACCATATTAGAATCTGAGTTGCCCCCACAGCAGGTCTAGAGATCAGTACCAGTTGAAGGGCATCCTAGGGAGGCGAGGTGGACTGTGACTCCCAGCAAGCGAAAGGACTCTGACAGCAGTGACTCAGGAAAAACATTTATTATTCTTCTGTTTTGACTTGTTCTGTAAATTCTTTCAGATTTTTTTTTTCTTTCTCTTTCCTTCCTCCCCACCATCTGTTGTAGTTGTCGACTTTATTGGCACTATGAAATCTAATTAAGTTTTTGAGCTTTTTTTTTTCCTCAGTCACATTTTTTTACTGTTGTTATAAATCTCTGACTCTATGTTGGGCTTTTGTAGTTCTGTGGAGTTTTCTTTTTTATTTTTTTTTTTATTTTAATCCTTAATTTTTTAAACCTATCATTATTTTTTCTACATTTATTCCTTTGTTTGCTTTTCTTACTGTTCTTTTCGCCTTGTAGTTACCTTTAATGTATATAAATATTCTTTATCTACCTCTATTTAACTTTGCATATCGAGTCTTTCTTTTCTTTTCTTTCTTCCCTTTCCTCTCAACATATTTGTTAGTTTTATTTTCATTGTTTTATTTCCCAACTGGAAACTTTAGTTTTGTTTTACAGTTTGTGCTTTAGTTAGTTTTGTTCTTAACTTTGTTCTGTAGACAGAAGTTTTGGTATCCTTTGTTTGCCCGGGCAATCTACTGTCTTTCTTCTTCCTTCCTGTGAAAAGACAACCCTCAGAATGGGAGAAAATAATGGCAAATAAAACAACTGACAAAGGACTAATTTCCAAAATATACAAGCAGCTCATACAACTCAATACCAGAAAAACAAACAACCCCATCAAAAAGTGGGGAAAAGACCTAAACAGACATTTCTCCAAAGAAGACATGCAGATGGCTAACAAACACATGAAAAGATGCTCAACATCGCTCATTATTAGAGAAATGCAAATCAAAACTGCAATGAGATATCACCTCACACCGGTCAGAATGGCCATCATCAAAAACTCTACAAACAATAAATGCTGGAGAGGGTGTGGAGAAAAGGGAACACTCTTACACTGTTGGTGGGAATGTAAATTGATACAGCCACTGTAGAAGATGGTATGGAGATTCCTTAAAAACCTAGGACTAAAACCACCATACAACCCAGCATTCCCACACCTAGGCATACACCCTGAGGAAACCAAAATTGAAAAATACACATGTATCCCATTGTTCACTGCACCACTATTTACAATAGCTAGAACATGGAAGCACCTAGATGTCCATCAACAGATGAATGGATAAAGAAGTTGTGGTATATATACACAATGGAATATTACTCATCCATAAAAGGAATGCCTTTAAGTCAGTTCTAATGAGGTGGATGAACCTAGAACCCATTATACAGAGTGAAGTAAGTCAGAAAGAGAAAGATAAATATTGTATTCTAAAGCATATATACAGAATCTAGAAAAATGGTACTTAAGAATTTACTTACAGGGCAGCAATGGAGAGACAGACAGAGAGAATAGACTTGTGGACATGGGGAGACAGGAGGAGAGGGTGAGATGTATGGAAATTGTAACATGGAAACTTACATTGTAAACTTTACACTTGTAAAATAGATAGCCAACAGGAATTTGCTGAATGGCTCAGGAAGCTCAAATAGGGCTCTGTATCAACCTAGGGGGTGGGATGGGGAGGGAGATGGGAGGGAGGTTCAAAAGGGAGGCGATATATGTATACCTATGGCTGATTCATGTTGAGGTTTGACAGAAAACAACAAAACTCTGTAAAGCAATTATCCTTCAATAAAAAAATAAATAAAATTTAAAACATACAATTAAAATATTGCAATTATTTTTATCAATTTATATTAACTTGTAGTTAATTGTTTCCAGTGATAAATACTTAATAAAATGAATCATTCTTTATAAACGCAGAAGTAGTAAACATTCACTGACAAATATAAAATGCTATTTCTATTTGTGCCAGAGTCAGTGCATAAAGACTATGGTTACATCAAGTCATTCAACTTTCTTCATAATTTGTAATTTGAAACTAGGCAAGATAGAAATAAATGAACCCATAAGAAATTATCAATATTAATAAAATTCAAGGGACTACTTATCCAAGAACATAAAGGTTTTAGAAGAATCCCTTTCAAAGTAATAATTGGAATTTAACAAATAAGCATCTACTTCTTAAAAGTAAATCCAGAAGAATTTTATATAGAATTGTTTTAGCTGTGTTAGTGTTTTTTCTTGAAATTGTTTAGGTAACTATTTTTTAAGCATTATTTTTCATTTAAATTTAAGGTCTCGGGTGATTTATGCTCTTTTCATCAAAGTATTGAGGTGATACAGTACTATCTTTCATGGGACATAAAAACCAAAATCACAATAGCTTCAAATTAAGCTATTTAAAATACAAATGCACATATACAATGAGCATAAAGAAATATATGTATTCCTTTGCAACATCAAATTTTTAAAACTCAAGAATTATTTGTTCAATTTATGTGTGAACGACTGAACTGAACTGATGTGTGTTTATTAACTAGAAGCATTTTAAAATAGACTCACCTTGTATACTAATACTAATCCTTTTTACCAGTCAGTCAGTTCAGTCGCTCAGTCGTGTCCGACTCTTTGCGACCCCATGAATCACAGCAGGCCAGGCCTCCCTGTCCATCACAAACTCCCGGAGTTTACTCAAACTCATGCCCATCGAGTCAGTGATGCCATCCAGCCATCTCATCCTCTGTCATCCCCTTCTCCTCCTGCCCCCAATCCCTCCCAGCATCAGGGTCTTTTCCAATGAGGGTCTTTTCCACCTTCACATGAGGTGGCCAAAGTATTGGAGTTTCAGCTTCAACATCAGTCCTTCCAAAGAACACCCAGGACTGATCTCCTTTAGGACAGACTAGCTGGATCGCCTTGCAGTCCAAGGGACTCTCAAGAGTCTTCTCCAACACCACAGTTCAAAAGCATCAATTTTTCGGCGCTCAGCTTTCTTTATAGTCCAACTCTCACATCCATACATGACCACTGGAAAAACCATAGCCTTGACCAGACGGACCTTTGTTGGCAAAATAATGTCTCTGCTTTTTAATATGCTATCTAGGTTGGTCATAACTTTCCTTCCAAGGAGTAAGCGTCTTTTAATTTCATGGCTGCAGTCACCATCTGCAGTGACTTTGGAGCCCAAAAAAATAAAGTCTGACACTCCCTTCCTCTCTGTTCACTCATATGGAAATGTTCTCTTTGAAAAACAGACAAAGAAACACCTTATTATGTTCTTTCTATAAAAGAAAGGAGTGAGTTTTTTCACCCATTATATTTTGCTTTTCCAGGGAAAATTACTTTTATTCCATTTTTAAAGAT